AAACTTTAGATTTTGGGATGCTATCTTGAAGATCAGGAAATTGTTGTACGTAGTTTTTGCAGGCTGGATTCATCGTATCGTTTATAAATGTTCCAAGCTGGAATGCTGATTTTGACTGAATGTTTCGTGCATTTCAGAGCAATGTCGCATCGTAAATTCTCAGCTCCCAGGCACGGGTCGATGGGGTTCACCCCGAAGAAGCGATCCAAGAGACATAGGGGAAAGGTTAAAGCATTCCCAAAGGATGATCCTAGCAAACCAATTCATTTAACCTCATTCATTGCGTTCAAGGCTGGAATGACGCATATCGTTCGTGTGGTAAGTTCTTTTTACGAGTCTACGTTTTCTTCACTAATTTCTAATCGCAGTTCATGATGATGATCTCTGGTATCTGATTTCTCTGCTGACAAAGTTCCCTATTGACCTGAATGTATTGCTGTCAGTTCATTGTGATTATTCTGAAATGTACCAAATTCAATCTAACGATGTTTGTTGTATGCAGGTGGATAAGCCAGGTTCAAAGGTGAACAAGAAGGAGGTGGTCGAGGCTGTCACAATGCTAGAAGCACCACCAATGGTGATCGTTGGCATTGTTGGGTACATCGATACGCCTCGTGGACCCCGTCAGTTCAAGACTGTCTGGGCTGAACATCTCAGTGAGGATTGCCGCCGTCGATTCTACAAGAACTGGTATGCTTTGGTGTTCTTCAAATGTGACTAGAGTTCTTGTCTTGCCGAATAATTTAGCAATATTACGAAGAAATATGAAGTGGTTCATCTTCACTGTATCTTAATACATTGCCTCTATCTTAATATTCATTGTAATAAATTACGCTATCTTCAGTTATATTATCATTGACATTTTGACTCTCCTCTGCATTGCCATTTGCATGAGTAGTCAGTGTCATAGGAGAGCGAAAGAGAGCCTTCCTCTGTATCATCACGGATTGGTGTTACATGAAGGATTGAATGATAAACGTGCTCCGCAAAACATACATCCCGATGAGGGGTGTTTGCGGTGTGGTCACGTTACATGATATCTCTTTATACAGGCACACCTCAAAGAAGAAGGCCTTCCAAAAACATGCCAAGAAATGGCAAGATGAAGACGGCAAGAAATCGATTGAAGCCGATTTGAATAAGATGAAGAAGTACTGCACGAAGATCCGTGTTATCGCGCACACTCAAGTAAGTTTTATCGGTTTTGTATTAGTGACCTTATTGTGATGCTGTAAAACAAGAGCGATGATCGATAGACTGGTTGCCTGTGTCCGACAGTTATGACGACTTTATTCCAGTCCATTTGCTGCCTTCCTTCTGAGCTCGTGAATTTGATACTGCAAATGTTTGCTGAAACAGTAATCCTGAAATGTNGTGTTCGCTCAGGATGAGATGATTGATTGTATTGGAGTGACGAAGGGTAAAGGATTCAAGGGTGTCACGAGCCGTTGGCATACCAAGAAACTGCCTAGAAAGACACACAAGGGTCTTAGAAAGGTATCGTTGCTCATGACATTTTTTATCAGTAATCAGCTAAAGTGGCGATGATGGTTGAAAGTAGTGGACGTAATTCACCCTGACGATAATTATTATATTGCTGAGCCACTTTAGGACGGTTTTTGAACTCGTTAGTGATAGGGAAGGGAGAGTTGAGAATTTAGTAAGTGATGTTTTTAGGTGGCATGTATTGGTGCGTGGCATCCATCGAGAGTACAGTTCACAGTGGCGAGAGCAGGTCAGAAGGGTTATCATCACCGAACGGAAGTGAACAAGAAGATCTATCGTTTGGGCAAGTCGTGCCTGACCGAGGAGGGTAAAAAGAACGGTGGAACCGAGTATGATATCACAGAGAAGAGTGTTAATCCCATGGTTAGTAGTCTGTCTCATTATTTGGTTACGTTGTTTTGCTATGATGATAAAGTCTGCAATACAGATTTGATAGATGTTGACATATACTTTAGTCTGAGCAAACACGTTGAAACTGTGGTTTGAACTTATATCGGCTTTTTAGAGGTTGTGCTCAAATGTGAATATATTTTAGGGTGGCTTCCCGCATTACGGTTTGGTGAATCAAGATTTCGTGATGATTCGCGGATGTTGTATTGGCTCGAAGAAACGACCGATCACACTGCGAAAATCACTGATCACTCAAACGAAACGATTTGCCCATGAGAAGATCAATCTGAAATGGATCGATACGAGTTCCAAATTCGGACATGGTCGCTTCCAAACCCATGCCGAGAAGAAAGCCTTTATGGGCAAGCTCAAGAAGGATCTTATTGCTGAGTCTGAGGGTGTTAAGGTTTAACTGTTTCCTCTGTGTTAAGTGAATAAGCGCTTGTAGTGTGTTCAAGCTTGTCAAGTGATTCTGTATTTGTCCCATCGTACCCGTTGTCTGTTTGCTTATGCTGTTGATTTGTGTTAAAAAAATAAAGTTGTTGTTGTTGT